GCTTGTTTCTGAAGTCTCTGTTTACCTAGATTTTCCATATCCAGCCAGCCCTCGTTTTGTGTTTTCTTCATTGCCTCCATTTCAGTTTTCAATTCTTGAAATGATTCCATTACCTATTTGATTGTTTTTTCTTGGTTTCCCAGGGTATCCTTTACGAATTTTCTCATTTCTTCAAACATTTTGTTATATTTTTCTTCCATTTCTTTACTCATTTCTTCATTCTTTTTATTATATTCCTCTTCTATTTCTTTAAGTGAGTTATTCATACCCTGTTTAAGAGACGCTATTGCTTTCATAATGACACTATTTTCCACTTCTTCTGGAATAGGGTGTTCAAGTCCTTCTGTCATAAGATCGCTGGGATCTGGTGTTTTCATGTTGTTTTTCAGATTGCTGGAGGAATTCTTGCCTTGGCGCCTGCCCATCTCTTCCTTCAGATGCTCTCCAATGGCTCTTCCCTCTGCTGGGTCTTCTGCTACAGGATTAATGCCCCTTGCTGGCAAGGAATCACTTTGCCTGCAGTCCTACCTTGCTGCAGACAGGCTATTAAAACAAAGGAACTCCCTCCTGTTTGCACTCACCGCCCCACCCCGGTGGTGCCCACTGGATCTGTGTTGGAGGATTTTATGCCCTGAAAGAGGGAGAGAGGAAGGGAAGGGTTTCCTGGCTGAAAGTGGAGATGGGGTAGGAGGAGAGAGGGTTTAGCTGGGGGAAGCCACCCCTTCAGAATACCCAGGTAGATAATGATAGTGGGAAATTTGTGTGTTTCCTTATGGGGCTTGTGTGGTGGGTCAGGAACACACTTACCCCTCCATTGTATCTTCTGCTACAGGATCAATGCCACTTGCTGGTCAGAAATCTCCCTGCCTGCCAACACTTCAACTTTTTTTTCTTTTGAAAGTAATTTTATTAAATTATAAAAGTTTCCATTTCCACCCCTCCTCCCACCACCCTCCCACTCCCCCCACTCCCTCTCCTCTTCCCTCTCCATCCCTAAGAACAGTCAGGGTTTCCTGCCCTGTGGGAAGTTCAAGTTCCTCCCCCCTCCCTCCAGGTCCAGGAAGGTGAGTGTCCAGACAGACTCAATCAGCAAAATCCAGTATATGCAGAGGAAACAAGTCCCAGTGTCTTTGTCAATGGCTTTTCAGAAAGACTCAGGGCCAGCCACATTCAGAGAATCCGGCCACATTCAGAGAATCTGGTTGGATTGCATCCTCGTTCAGTCCCAATCCAACTGGTCTTGGTAAACTCTCATTAGATCCGTCCCCTTGTATCAGTGGGTGATCGCATCCCTCGCAATGCTTATTTCCTTTTACACTTCAACTTTTGATTGTTTTAAACACATTGACAAAAACAAGCTTGCATCCATCAGTCTATTTCCTTAGCATAATTTATTTTTCTAAAGACCAAGATATCTTTGAATTAGAGAAACATACTCTTGAAAATCAGAAAATGTGATATCTGTCAACAAGGATAAACATAGTATTAATGAGAGAGTATGTTAATGCATTAAATTGGTAGGACATCAGCAGGATATCAGATTCACTGCCAACTGATTTTCAGAGATGATCTACCATTTGAATTAGTGTTAGTGATAAATTATTTCCAAGTAATATTAATCATACTCACTGGAAAATTAAAATGTCATAAAATGATAAAGTGTTAAAGAAACAGTATTTCACATCTACACCTGCATATGCATCACAATATCACTGGAGTGTTTTCTCTGAATCATTTAAGACAGACTGTTTGTAATATGGGATGGAATCATTTGATGATTTCATATTCCTCTTATTATTTCAGTAGTTTCAGTAAAGTTAAGTTTTTATAAAAAAATAGCATGTATATGAAATGACCATTTTGTATAAAAAATAAATAACAGCAAATAAGATAAAATCACTTTATTCTACTATTTTCCTCATGGTAGTTATTTGTTATCAAAATATTAGTTTTATCATATTTAGTGCATGTATAAAAATATAAAATTAAGGTGAATAAAAATAATTACAGGATCCAATGACATGGCTCAGCATTTAAGTGCACTTGAAGCTGTGTCTGAAGACTTGAGCTCAAGGCATCTGTCTTCCACATACACAAAGTGACACATGCATCATTCCACTTAGATACAGACGAAATGAGTAAATATAAAAATCTATACATATTTTCATTACAAATATGTTTTTTGAAATAGGTTCTATAGTTCACTTAACAAATGAATTAATTTTTATACTTTTATTTGAAGAGAACTGTGAATTAGTGCAAAAATTTTGGGTTATGCACATCATTCTATGATATTTCCTAAAATATGCTGTGAAACAATTTCCTATTAGATAAAAACTTCCACCTTTGTGGAAAGCTCATTAAGACATTAATTAAATCCTAAGGGGAACTAAAATATCCCACACTGCAGGGAAGTTCATTAAGTCCAGGAAGTAAACACTTCAACACATCTCCAGAAAATATCTGTAACTGTCCAGAATAACTAGGTCACTCCATTTCCAAATATATGTAAACCATAAGAACTTCTTAGAGATTCTCTCATATAACCTGACATACCTAGAAGATTCTCAAACAAGCTGAAGTACATAGAAGGCACAGCAATCCACAAAACTTCCTAGAAGAAAGAGACCAGAGGATCTAACTAGAAGTAGAGCCCAGCAGAACTTCCTGAAAAGAGTACAGAATAATCAAACTATCTGGACAGTACACTTTTCCAGCTGCCTGCAAGCTGTGCAGTGTGTTTCTGGTTTCCAGCTTTCCTGTTGTGGTGATCTTTGGCAATGAAATAGTCTTTGAACCATTTTTGCTTCTTTAAGTAATCCCTCACTAATATTCCTGCAAATAAACTCAATAAATTTATTGGTTTGCCAATTAGGTTTTGGGAGCAGGGAAGTGGTGGCTCACACTTTTAATCGCAGCACTTGGGAGGCAGAGGCAGGAGGATCTCTGTGAGATCGAGGTCAGCCTGGTCAGGACATACTCCAAAGCTACAAAGAAACTCTGTCTTGAAAAACAAAACAACAACAAAAAATCCAATTAGGCTTTGAAGATATCCTTACTTTGGTCTGTTTTTGGTTCCCTATGTAGCTTTAATAGACATATGTTTATGTCTTCCATATAATAGGGTCAAAAAGAGACATGGATTCTAACTATTTTGCTTCTGTTCCGTTCTTTAAAAATGTTCTAATCCAATTCTATATAGCTTGCATCTACACTGATATGTGTTCTTCTGCTCCTTCCACAATGTTGCACTACATTCAATTGTCTGTTAATGACTTTGCTGCTTCCATGCATATGATTTTATAAGTGAATCATCCCCTTTGATTATTGGACTGGAATATTTTCAACAAAATTCAACATTCTTTTTGGTTGATTTGAAGATTATTTTCTTTCCATCAAACTAGAGTAATATTTTAAGTTCAAATTACATAGTTTGCTTGAGTCACAAAACTATTGCTTGATTGTATAGCATGTTGTAATCATGCAATCCTTCCTTCTAAATTAGAGTTCAAATTATTTTTCAGTTCTAAGATTTCAACTTCTAGCTTCCCCCATGGTAGACAAGTGCTTGTTCATTGATATATATTCCAAGTCCAAATTTTAAACTACTTAAAGCTATGAAATATGAATGATATTTCTTCTGAATCTCTTCTCAACATAATTGAGGACTGTTTGGGTTTCAAAAAAGTGAGAGGCCTGTTAGTATATTGTGGTAACTTCATCATTGCATAAAACATATGAGGTCTTAAAAATTAATTCATAATGTTAAAAATTATTTTTGCTATGGAAGTAATTACTTAAACAGTTTAAAATATATAGTTCTTGGTAGAGCTACAATTTAACTTTCCCTCTCTTGTAGAAAGTAATTTAAATATTTTGGAGAGCCCTTACATGCTGTTGAATTATATTTTAAGATGAAAGTAATAATAATACTTTCCAAAATTTTTATTGGATTATAAAATGCTAATTTTATGTTTCCAGTTGGCAGAGATTATTACTGTGTATAGTTTGGGTAAAAAGCAAGGTATGGAATAATTATGTAATATTCTATGTTTTTGTGTGGCTTATCTCTACAAACTTTCTAAGTATAATTTAAATATTTAATGTTTGCTTTCTGTATGATTTATTCATCAGTAGGGTTTTAGGTCTAATACAATGAGATAATCTTAGTGTGTTCATATAGACAGAAATATAAATCTCCTTATATTTTCAATAGTGGTAACAAGGCATTATAGTGAAAATACAAATTATTCCCTATAAATCATAAATAACAGATCATATACTTCAAAGAAAGTCTCCAAAAGTCAAAGGAATAGTGTGATAATAAGGTAAGTTGAAATGCAACCCATTTACACAATTCTACCCATTTAAAAAATGCTATTTAGATATATCTGGTGGATAAAAGCAAACTGACATTTTTGAATACATAACATATACCTGATACTTGGTTTCGTGGGTTAATGTTTAAAAATAAACTAAGAGTCATTCCGTGTGCTCTTCTATGATGTGTCCTGAACCTTAGAAGAAAGAGCTGTCAAGTAGATATATCAGTTGTGGCTCACCATGGTTTATAGATCTCTGAATGGTGCCCAGTGTGATTTTCTTTGATGGTTCTTCATTTGCTGAAAAAAAGAAATTTTTTTGATGATGACATGATAGCAACACTTATATGTGAGTTAAAGGAAAATGTTTCGAGTGTAGTAAGAAGTTACCTTAATCTAGCATCATGGTGATAGCAGATGATTTTCTTGCACAGGGAAGCTGGATAGGTTTCCAGTACCAACCATGACTTCCCTCCTATTCCCTGGGCCTTAGCACCAATTAGATAGCTGCTGTGAATCATTAGCATATGAATGAAGCTTATTGCACCACTTTGCATATTTTATTATGCTGGTAATTTTCCTGGTTGCTGGTCTACAGTTGGGTCTGTTTCCATTTTGTGACATCTTACATAATATTTTCTGGATAGAGGAAAGCTTGATCACAGAAAAGATACTTTTGTTCTTACTTTGGCAGCACATATAATAAAATTGGAACAATATAGAGAAGATTAGCATGGCCCCTGAGCAAGGATGACATGCATATTCATGCCAGATTACATAATTTTGCCAAGACACACTCTGCTGCCCAACACCACTCACCTGAACATCTTCCCTGTGGCTAGCCCTCCTTTGCAACTCCAACAAACTACAACATAGGCACAGATGCAAACCACAACAATTGCAAGAATAGATAGAGGCACAAGTCATACTGGTTTGAAAAAAATGAGTAAACACCAGTGTAAGAATGCATTCAACAACTGAAAGACAAATATGTACAACCAGAACCTAGTGATCCTACAGCAGTAAAACCTGAAGGTTCCAAAGTAGTGAAAACAGAAGTAAAGTAACTTACAAATTACTTTATGAAAATGATAGAGGCTCTTAAGAAGAAATGAAAAATTCCCTTAAAGATGTCAAAGAAAAAACAAACAAAAATTTGGAAGAAATCAGTAAATCACACAAAAAAAGAAAAGAAATCCAAAAAAATTTAGGAAGGTGAAGGAAATTATTCAAGACTTGAAAAGTAAATATAATTAATAAAACAAAAACTGAGGGAATTTTGGAAATGAAAAATCTGGGGAAGCAAACAGGAAATACAAATGGAAGTTTAACCCATAGAATATAAGAGATGGAAGAGAGAAACTCAAGTGTTGAAGATATGATAGAGAAAACAGATTCATCAGTCAACAAATTTTAAATTCAATAAATTCCTAATACAAAATAGGCAGGAAATCTGGGATACCATAAAAAAGCCAAGCCTAACAATAATAGGTATATAAGAAGGAGAAGAATGTTAGCTAAAAGCAAAGACAATATATTAATCAAAATCATAGAAGAAAACTTCCACAGCCTAAAGAAGAACATACCTATAAAAGTTCAAGAAGCTTACTGAACACCAAACAAGTTGGACTAAAAGAAATCCCTTTGCGACATAATAATCAAAACCTTAAGCAAACAGAATAAAGAAAGAATATCAAGAGCTGCAAAGGGAAAAGGTCAAGTGTCATATATTAGAACTACGCCTAACTTCTCAACAGAGACTCTGAAGGACAGATTTTTTTACAGATGCTAAGGACCATGGATGCCAGCCCAGATTACTTTATCCAGCAAGCATTCATTCAACACAGACAAAAAACCCAAAACATTTCATGACAAAAGAGGTTTAAACATTACCTATCCAAAATTCCAGCAATATGGAAAATACTAGAAGGAAAATTCCAACCACACTAACTCAGTTTTATCCATGGTAACACAGGCAGTAGATAATCTCACAACAGCAAAACCAAAGGAAAGGAAAGACACACCACCATCACCAACATCAAGCCACAAAGTAACAGGAATTAACAATCACTAATCTATAATATCTCTTAATATCAATGGACTCAATTTACCAATGAAGTGACATAGACTAACTGAACAGATAAGGAAATAAGATCCATCTTTGCACTGTATACAAGAAACATACCTAAACTTGAAAGACAGATATTGCCTCAGAATAAAGGGTTGGGGAAAGATTTTTCAAACAAATGAATCCAAGAAGCTAGCCAGGTAGCTGCCCAAATAGCTAACAAAATTGAGTTCAAACTAAAATTAACCAGAAGACATGGAGAAGGACATTTCATATTTATCACAGGAAAAAAATTATCAAAATAAAGTCCCAATTCTGAACATTAATGCTTCAAATACAAGGTCACCATGTAGAAGAAACAATACTCAAGCTTAAATCGCATATCAAACCCAAAACATTAATAGTGGGAAACTTTAACACCCCACTCTCATCAGTGGACAGGTCTTACAGACAGAAACTTAACACGTAAATAGGGGGACTAACAAATATTATGACTCAAATGGACTTAATAGATACCTACAGAACATTTCTCCCAAACACAAAAGATTATCTCTTCTTCCCAGTACATCAAAGAACATTCTCTAAAATAAGTCACATACTCGGTCGTAAAGCAAATCTCAACAGATACAAAAATATTGGAATAAACTCTTCTATTTTACTGGATCACCATGGGTTAAAGTTAGAGTTCAATAACAACACAAACTACATAAAGCCTAAAAACTCATAGAAACTGAACAATTTTCAAATGAACCACCACTGGGTAAATGAAGAAATAGAAAGAAATTACACAGTTCTCTGAATTTAATGAAAATGAATCCACGATGTATCCAATGTTATAGGGCACACTGAAAGTAAGTACTAAGAGGAAAGTTCATACTATTAAATGCCTACATAAAGATTTTGGGAAAATCTCATACAACTGACTTAAGAGCACATCTGAAAGCTCTGGAACAAAGAGAAGCAAACTCACTCAGGAACAACAAATGGCAGTAACAAATCAAAATGAATATTGAAATAATTAAATATAAACAAAGAGAATAATACAAAGAATTACTAAAATAAAGAGTTGGTTCTTTGAGGAAATCAAGAAGATAGACAAACCCTTACCCAAATTAACCAAAAGGCAGAGAAAGAATATCCAAACTGCCAAAAACAGAAATGAAAAGGGGGAACATAACAATAGACATTGAGATAATACAGAGAATCATAAGATCTTACTTAAAAAAACCTATATTCTACACAATTGGAAAAATCTAAGAGAAATGGACAACTGCCTTCATATGTAGAACATACCAAAATCAAATCATGACCAGCTAAAAAAGTTGAACAGACCTATAACCCCTATGAAAACAGAAATGGTTGGTCAATAAATGTCTTTCAATCAAAAAAATAGAGAATAATAGCCCAAGTAGTGATGGTTTTAGTACAGAATTCTATCAGAATTACAAGGTAGAACTAATACCAATACTCCTCAAATAGTTCCACATAAAAACTATAAAAGGAATGTTGCCAATTTCTTTTTATGAGGATGCATTTCCCTGATACTCAAACAATATGAAGATTGAACAGAGAAAGAGAATTACAGACCAATCTCCCTTATGAACAGTGATCAAAAAATAATCAACAAAATACCACCAATCTGAATCCAAGTATACATCAAAAAGAAAAAAAAAAAGAAAAAAAAACTTCCACCATGATCGAGGAGCATTTTTCTCAGAGATGCAAGGAATGGATCAACATATAAAATATGTCAATGTATTCCACCATATAAACAAAAACTAAAACCCCACATGATCCTTTCATCAGATGCTCAAAAAGCCTTTGACATAACTCAACACCCCTTCATTAAAAAAATTCTGATGAGAACAAGGATATAAAAAACATACCTAAACATAATAAAAGCAATATAAAGCATACCAATAGGCAACATCAAATCAAACTGAGAGAATCCTAAAACAACAAGACAAGACTGTTCACTCTTTCCATATCTGTACAATGTAGCACATGAGGCCCTAACTAGAATCATAAGGCAACCAAAGCAGATCAAGAGGATACAAACTGAAAAGGAAGATGTCAAACTTTCACAACTTGCAGATGATATGAAAGTTCATTTAAGTGACCCCAGATTTTCCTTGGAAACTATTACAGCTGCTGAACATCTTCAGTAATGTGACTGGATACATGATTAACTCAAAGAGTCAGTAGCTCTTGTGTACATAAATGATAAGTGGGCCAAGAAAGAAGTCAGAGAAACAATACCATTTATAATAGCCACAAATAATGTGAAATATGTTGTGGTAACAAGCTAAAGACCTATATGACAAGAATTTTAAGTCTTTAAAAAATAATTTGAAGATGTCAGAAAAATATAAGATCTCCCATTATCATGAATCAGTAGGATTAATATAGCAAAAATGGAAATCTTAACAAAAACAATCTGTAGATTCAATGCAGTCTCCATCAAAGTCTCAACACAATTATTCTCAGACTTCAAAAAAGTGTGCACATTCAAATGGAAAATGAAAAATAAAATCAGGATAACTAAAAGCATTTTTCAAAATAAAGGAACTTCTGGAGGTATCATCATCCCTGGATTCAAGCTCTACTATAGAGCTATAGTAATAGAAGCAGTTTGGTATTGGTATTAAAACTGACAAGTAAATCAGTGGAGGCAAATTGAAAATCCTGTCATAAACCCACACAGCTATGACAACCTGATTTGTGACAAATAAACCAAAAGTATACAAAGAAAAAAGAAATCATCTTCAACAAATGATCCCGACTTAACTGGATGACAACATGTAGAAGAGTACAAATAAATTCATATCTATCACACTGTATATAACTCAAGTCCAAGTGGATCAAATACCTCAACATAAATCCAGTTACGCTGAAACTGATAGAAGAAAAATTGGGAGGTAGCCTTGAACACATTGGCATAGGAGACTACTTTCTAAATATAATACCAGTAGTACACAGTGAAATTAACAATTAATAAATGGGATTTTCTGAAATGGAAAAGCTCATGTAAGGCAAAGGACACTGCCAGTAAGACAAAACAGCAGCGTACAGAATTGGAAAAGATCTTAACCAAACCTTTGTCTGACAGAAGGCTGAGCTCCAAAATATACAAGGACCTCAAGAAAAGGGACATCAAAATACCAAATAAACCCATTAAAAGTGGGGTACATACTTGAACAGAGAATTCTCAACAGAAGAATCTCACATTGCCAAGATAGGCTTAAAGAAGTGTTCCACATCCTTAGTTTCCAGGGAAAAGCAAATTAAAATAACTCTGAGATAATATCTTATACCAGTCAGAATGGCCATGTTCAAAACTGGTAATGACTGCCTATGTTGGAGAGGATGTGGAGTAGGGGGAACACTCTTCCACTGCTTGTGGGAGTTCAAACTTGTACACCCATTTTGGAAATCAGTATGGTGGTTTATCAGAAAATTGAGAATCAATTTACCTCAAGGAACAGCATTACCACTCTTGGGAATATACCAAAACAAAGCTCCATCATACTACAAGAAAACTCCAAAAACAATGTTTATAGAAGTATTATTTATAATATTCAGAACATGGAAACAACCTATATTCCTCTCAGCTTAAGAATGGATAAAGAAAATATAGTAAATTTACACAATGAAGTATTACTCCACTATCAAAAGAAGACATCATGAAATTTTCAGACAAATGGATGGAATAATAAT